TAGCAGAGCAAGAAGGAGAGAATGACAAACAACGAGTGAGGCTGCAGATAACTTTCCTCATCACATTGAGTACGTTTATATGGATATAAACTTTTATGACTGATGTTGAAGCAGTTGTTTAAGTTTTTTGAGGTAAAGGGTAAAGGTTATCCTTTCTAATAGGCTTGAAAGCAAAATGTAACATTACACATTGTCTTTTACAAGGGTTATAATATAACTTAAGCCTTATATTGCTTTGTGTATATGCTGGATAGTATATTATAACACATTTTTTAGTTATTTGTTTTCTTTTACTTCCAGTTTGAAAATGTTGTATAGGCTATTTGGCTGTTTGGTGTTTTTGTGGCAAATGTTGTTCTTGGGTGAATGGAAAACAGTTGACTACGGTAATCTATTAAGAGAGTATGTCTGTTTATATTCGTTCAATGTTAAGGGCATTCGTGATTTGTTAAAGAGAAAAGCTTTTTTTTTTTTTTTTTTCTTAAAAGATTTAAGGCTGACTTATTTTTTAAAGGAAACTCATGCAGTAAAGTCTGATTTTTTTTTTTTTTTGGAAAAATCAATGGGGTAGTGATATCTGGTTGGCATACGGGAGTAATAAATCAGCAGGGGTCGCAGTTTTGAAAGGTAATTATAAAGGGAACATTTTTAAAAGTAATGCTCACTCTTGTGGAAGATGGTTGATTTTAGTTTTAGAAGATGATAATAATTTTTTTTTATTTTTGGGGAACATCTATGGTGACAATTATACTCTACAAAACAGGTTGTTATTACAAAATTTTAGAGAAGAAATTTTGGATTTCTTTAAAATATACCCAAGTGCCCAGTTGATTTTAGGTGGTGATTGGAACATTAATAATGATCCTTTTTTTGGATTGTTTTCCTCCCCATATCAGTAGACGGTCCCAATATACTGATATATTTCATTTATGTTCCCAATTAAATTGTTGGGATGAATGGAGGCACAGAAATCTTGATAAGATAGACTTTACTTGGCGTAATAAAGATAGATCTATACAATCTAGAATTGACTTTTGGTTAACATCTGAGGAACTTGGGAATCAAATTCAGGAGACTGACATTGTGCCTTCAGTCTTCAGTGACCACAGAATGATCCATTTAGTTATCAGCCTTGGTGATACAAGAACTCGAAGATCTAATTTCAATTACTGGAAATTACATAATTCACTTTTTGAAGATGTTCAGTTTAAGGATAAGGTTAAAAGTGTGATAAAGATTTCCTCTTTAAAGAAACTCAAGATTAACGATTCTCTTACAGTGGACCCAAAATGAATACCTAATTTTGTTGTTACATTTTATGAAAAGTTATATGCCCAAAATAATAATATAGATAATGCTGATTTTTTTCTAGATTCACTTTTAAAAAATGCAAAAACTATAGATCATCATTCTAAATACATACGTGATCAAGACATAACTTTTGAAGAAATTCATAAAAGCATTGTAAAGCTTAAAAATAATAAAGCACCAGGAAGCGATGGGCTGACCTGTGAATTTTATAAAGAGTTCAAAGAAGATATCTCAGAGTTTCTTTTATATGTCTTTAAAGAAATGTTGCAAAATGAAGTAATGTTGCCAACTATGCAACAAGGATTGATTACATTGATTCCTAAGCCAGGTAAAGACCTATTAAATATAGAAAATTGGAGACCAATAACTCTAATCAATAATGATACTAAATTACTTTCACATATATTTGCAAGTCGATTAAAGTTAGTTTTAAATGAAATTATAGATGATTGTCAATCTGGCTTCTTACGTGGTAGATAAATTGGCAATAATATTCGATTAATATTCGATTTGATTGACTACAATTTTCTTTTAAATGATGAGTTACATTTATTTTTTTTAATAGATTATTATAAAGCATTCTATACTGTCAACCACAAATTTTTATTTGAAGTTCTTGATTTCTTTGGTTTTGGCAACAACTTTATCCGTGCAGTTCGAACATTATATAATGAATGCAATAGCTCTGTTAAACTACCCTTCGGGACCACTCCTAGATTTAATATAGGCAGAGGTGTTAAACAAGGAGATCCATTTATCTCCTCTGTTATTTTGATTGGTCATGCAAGTATTGTATCTTCATATTAAAATCAGTCCATTTCAAGGTATCCAGTTGGCCAATAATGCATTAAATGTTTCCAGTTAAATGTGATTAAATGTTCCCAGTTAGCAGATGATACGGCAATTTTTCTAAAAGATATAAAAGAATTAAAAGTGGCTCTTGAGTGTCTTCATGAATTCTATTTAGTTTCAGGGTTAGCTATAAATATTAAAAAATGTGAATTGTTTGCTTTAAAAGAAAGACCCAGTAACTTGTCTGAATTTTGTGGCATTCCAATAAAAGACTATACTATTTAATTATACCCCAATAATGAACAAAATTAAAAAGAAATGTAACATTTGGCCGATGAGAGATCTTTCTTTAAACGGGAGAGTTTTATTATCAAAATCTGAAGGTTTATCCAGACTAGTTTACACCGCAATGGCTATAGATTTTCCAAAAAGTATCATTAATGAGATAAATAAATGCATATATAATTTTATTTGGAAAAATAAACATCATTATTTGTATAAAAAAATACTTTGTAATCCATTTAATCAAGGTGGGCTAAATGTACTTGATTTTGAAATATCTAACACTATTTTTAAAATTAAGTGGATTCAAAATTATATCCGTTCAAAAGATAAGTTATGGAATTACATCCCTAATATTATTTTTGAAAAAGTAGGTGGAATTGAATTTCTTCTTAATTGTAATTTTAATATTAGCAAGCTTCCCATAAAACTTTCCAATTTTCACAAACAGGCATTGTTATCATGGATGATTACATATAAACACAATTTTTCCCCTCACAAATGCTTTATTTGGAATAATAAATACACTGCACACCAAAATAAATCTCTTTTTTTATTCAATTGGTTTAGAAAAAATATTTTGTTGGTTTCACAACTTTTGAATAGTAGTAATGGTCATGTGCTTACATATTCAGAGTTTACATATTCAGAGTTTTTAGAAAAAATTTCATTTTATATACCTGTTAAGGAGTATATGATGGTAATTAATGCCATTCCTTGAGAACTTAGGAATTTATTAGGAAATGATATAGTCGAAAAACCAAATTTATATTTCAGTCTTAAACTGGAAGGTATAAATATAAAAGAATAAAAATGTAATAATAATTATCTTAGAACGATTGGCCAAATTTCCAATGTTCCTTTAGCCATTGGATTTTGGAGATCACAATTTCAAGATGTCAACTGGAAAGAAACCGTTAAGATTTCCAGACGTTTTTATATCACAAATAAAATTAGAGAAGTATCATACAAGATTGTTCATCGTATTTATCCTGTAAAACAGGTCATTGCAAAGTTTTGTAAAGACATTGACTTGAAGTGTGTTTTCTGTAAAGAGGAAAATGAGAGTATTGTCCATTTATTTTATGATTGTATTTATACAAAATTATTTTGGTGTAATTTGGCTTTTTTTTGTACTACTAGTACTAATATTGAATTGCAACTCAAAGAAAAGGATGTTTTATTTTTTTATGAGTATGCTGTTGACTTCAACATTTGGTATATTGTGAATTTACTCCCCAATACACTGGTGTTAACAAATGCAAAACTGATATAAAAATGCATTTGTTGATGCAACCGTGTCATTTGAACTTACTCATATGCAGATTTGAACCGTCTTGCCTAACTGTAGTTACACAGGATTCGAACCGGAGCTCCTCGCCTCTCAAGTACGTCTCCGTACTCCGTGAGCTACCGAACATACCTGTTCATTTCTTTTGGAAACTGCAGCGATATGTACTTATTGGTACGTATTTCGCGTCTCGCGAAAATGTGCCCACGTTTTTGCCATGAGACCGGGTTGCAAAAAAACATTGTATGGGTCAAAATTATAGACTTTTATTTTATGCCAAAAATCATTAGGATATTAAGTAAAGATCATGTTCCATGAAGATATTTTGTAAATTTCCTACTGTAAATATATCAAAACTTAATTTTTGATTAGTAATATGCATTGCTAAGAACTTAATTTGGACAAATTTAAAAGCGATTTTCTCAGTATTTAGATTTTTTGCACCCTCAGATTCCAGATTTTCAAATAGTTGTATCTCGGCCAAATATTGTCCTATCCTAACAAACCATACTTCAATGGAAAGCTTATTTATTCAGATGATGTATAAAATTGACACTTAAGACTGGTTTTGTGGTCCAGGGTCACATATGGAAAATTCTTTATTCACAAATGTAAATGGGCAGTGAAAAAACCTAATTTTACTCATTTTAAAATAGAAATAGGTCACTACCTGTGTACGTTAAAAGAAACAAGAAATAACAAAGCAAAAAACTAAATTACTTTAAAGCTTTAAATCTATTCTTTGAATAATTTGTAATTATTTGTACTTGTTTACAGACGTGATTTTTTATTGCTTTTCCAATTTAATTTATATTTTTTTAAGTATTTGTTTTGATTTAATTTAATTTAAATGTTATTGCCCTTATATGTTCTTTGTTCTACAAACTGCAATAATAAAAAAATACCATTGGTATACTACTTCCCCCGCCTCACCGGAAGTTGTACCCACGTTCTTTTTTACAGTAGGCCCCCTGGAAACAGGTGGATAGCGGTTGCTGAATAAACAGAAGATTTAACTGCTTTCATTAATTCAACGTGACTAATAAACACACGGCTACAACAATACATGGTTTATCTGAGTTTGTCTTATTGTAATTTTTATTATAATAAAGTATATGTTAATGCAACGCTAATCCACATAGCCTTTATCACTGCTTAGCTGGTCAGTGAACTACGGCTCTGTGTAGTAAATGCCGCTCCATCTGAAAGCACGTGCTGGAGATTTACTAATCACAGAACCGGCTTTACTGACAAGATACTACACCTGACAATCACATTCGATTAATCGTGCAGCCCTACAAATACTGGACACTCCCAGATGTCTTCTATATTAGAAAGTCTCCTACTTAGTTCTCTCACAGATCCACTCTCAGGTCGAAGTCTTTTTTGAGACAAACTGGGGGGAAATGGACTGCATATTACTTTTCTCCGTCTCGGCTGTGCTGCTAAATCTCTCTCGAGCTTTTCCTGCTGCGGTAAGAGCTGCAGCTCTCAGATTTGAGCGTCCTTCACTCACTCACTCGCTCACTCACTCTGTATCCTGCTCTTTCCACAGGTTGATCAAGGTGAGTTTCTATTCAACCCTCGTGTGTTCTTCAAATCAGGTAGAACAGTGGTGCTTGACTCCGATAAGAGAAATTCATGTAGCTCTCTCCTTATTCAAGTCATTTCATTCATTTGAGTGGCGTGAAATATTTTCAACCGCAAAATTCCCCAAACATGTCCACCTATGCAATCTTGATCCTATTCCAAAATGACAAAATCATTATAATGCAACCAAAGATAATTTGAGAAAAATAAGTTACTTTACCTCCCAAGTCTTTCATTAATTTGTCACATGACAGACGCAATGAACAAATTGTTCATGAATGACCCATCACTAACTGGGTCCCCAGTACCAGGATTAAGAACCACTAATTTAGACCAATAAAATACACAAATATGGTTTAATATTGCCATTCTTTCTTCAGATATCCAGTCTGGTGATGTGGATATGTTCTCAAGAATTCTGCAGGCAAACAAAGGTAACAGTTATTTACGGTACTACTTGACTATGACAATGTTGGTAATTTTTAATGCTTTTTACTTTATTATATAAATATACTAAATATTTATAAAGTAGGGCTGTCAATCGATTAAAAATTTTAATCTAATGAATTACACAATGTGGTGATTAATTAATTGCATATTAATCGCACATCAAATTTGGCTGAGAAATGATGCACAAAAGCATTTAAAGCCATTATTGTGTTACATAAGAAATGGATATTACAAAACAGCTTTAGAAAAAAATATTTTTTTGGGTGGGGGTGAGTGATCCCTTTCTTTATTAATATGGATTTTTTAAATTAATACTTAAATAGCAAATTATTTTTTAATGAAATTATACTCTAAATGGGAAACTAAAACTGCCAGTATAGGTGGCGGTAAATGTCTTAATGAATGTCACTTGTTCATCGGATTCGTTCAAAACGCGGACTCGTTCAGAAATTGTGTTGCTTGGAAAAGCACAACAGTTCTGATGTGGCTTTAATAGGTAATATTTGCGTCGGCAAAACTGAGCAAAAACTGACTATTGTGTTTAAAATATAACACAATCTTAACTTATTTACTGAACTGTTGTATTACAATCCCATTTGCACTGGTGTTATTTGGGACCAAAACAGCACTCGTGTGATATTGATCTCGCTGTTCGTGATATCGTTTATCATATGATATAAAAATGAGACCAACTCAAAGCGGCGTTTTTTGGCCAAAAATCTCAATTTAGGGGCACATAATTGCATTTATGAACTACATAGTTGTTGCGCTGCATCATGTTTGTCAACTGTATGAAGTGTAAGATGACGTACAGGTCTCGGGCGGGGCGTTAAATTTAATTAAATTAACGCGTTAAACCGTAAGCCCTATTATAAATATAAATGGCAATGGTTAATTTGTAACTTTTATTTATTTATTTTTAATTCTTATAAAGTTTATCTAAATGTATAAAAAGGTCATGGGTTATTAGTAATTAAAATGTTAAGTTTCATATTTTTATGTATATTAGCCTATTTATAGTTTGTAGCCTACATGATTTCAGTCAAAACACATGTATGTCTATTTAAATATAGTAATCATGCGTTTGCTTGCAGATAACCTTTTAACACTTCTATAAGAGATTTAAATGAGTGAAATGATTATAACTTTTTGTTTTATGATTCAGAGATCAGTGGCATGCTTCTTGAGGGAGATATGGTCTTACCCACAACAATGAATGCCATGAAATGTTTAAATGACTACTGCAGATGGCCAAAGTCCCCATCTGGATGGGTTGAAGTGCCATATTCCATTGCTAATGACTTCTGTGAGTGACGAGAAATCCACTTTTATGTAGCTATATTCTGCATCAACATTTAATAGCCTACATTTTGTGTTTATGATAGATGATTATGAGAGGGCAGTGATTGATAATGCAATGAAGAGCATTGCTGCTAAAACCTGTGTCCGTTTTGTGCCACGAACTAATCAAGTGGATTACATCAGCATTGAGAATCTAGTAGGGTGAGCTTGATCACACCTGAATAATGAATGTACTCATATCTGAATCCCGTTCAAAAGTTTAAGGTCAGTAATGTTACGTTTTACAAGGATGCATTAAATTGATCAAACGTGACCAGTAAAGACGTTTATAGTGTTAAAAGATTTCTATTTTAAATAAACTGTTGTTTAAATGTATCACCGTTTTCACAAGATATTAAGCAGCAATTGTTTTCCATAATAATAATAGTAGCAAAGAGAAAGGAAAAATTGAAATCACATCATATGACCCCTTTAACTTTTGAACTCAAGTGTAGGCCTACATTTGAGTTTACACATCAGTACACTGTAATTTGCAGGTGATTTTGTGAATTTCAGTTCTTTGAATATATATCTTTCTTTACAGCTGCTCGTCTGCTGTAGGGAGATCTGGAGGTAAACAGCAGTTGTCTCTGTCTGTGGATGGCTGTGCTTCTCACGGGATCATTGAGCATGAGCTCCTCCATTCTCTGGGGTTCCACCACGAACACACCAGGAGCGACAGAGACCAGTACATCTGGATCAACTGGCAGAATATTCCACAAGGTGTGTGTGTGTGTGTGTGTGAGAGAATGTGGACAAATCTCAAGTTCTAGAGGTGATTTTAAAACGATCTTTTTATTTTATCGTAATAACCTCAGTACCAATGAACACTTGTTTGCCCTTGCACAGCATCTGCACACAACTTTCAGCTAAAGGACACAAATAATCTGAATACCCCTTATGACTACAACTCCATCATGCATTATGGAAGGTAAAACTTCACCCATATTACTTTTGAATTCATGCTTCAGTATGGATATATAAAGTAATTCCTCAAGGGAATTCACTCTCACCCTTCATCTGCAGGACAGCCTTCACCATTAAATCTGGCATGGAAACCATCATTCCAATTCCTAACCCTTTAGTACAGATTGGACAGAGGCAGGAATTGTCTGCTATTGACATTCAGAGAATCAACAAGCTCTATGAATGTGGTGAGCACATTACACATGTAGTCTCATATTTTAAATGGCATTTTTGACAGTAATGACTGTACAAAAGTACTACGATTCTGATGGAATTTGTATTTTATTTTTTACCTGCAGCTCTTTAAAGTGAACACTGAAGATCAAACCCCAGTGAAATACAGACTGTGACAAAATAAAAGGATTACGGTACTGTGTAACCAAAGTTAATCTTTTCCTTCCTCTGTCTGTAATTTGACCACAAATGTAATGAACTAACCGCAGTGCTGAATTGCAATAAACCTTGTTACGGGTCAGTCCTGATGTGGTTTCGTCTTAGTTCCTAGAAGGGTTGAACCTCTCAAGTTACTTTAATGAGTTAAGGGAAAATACACGCACCACACTCACGAGCCATCTGAACGCAGATTTCCTGTTAGAGATGCATGTACACAATACCAATGCATGTTTCTGCCTCCATTAAAAAATACGTCTAAATTAAGAGTCGCCATTATGAGAAATTATCAATTTAAAAAAAACAAAGTGGCAACTGAGATTTAAAGTCACAATTACATGATATAGGGCAAAAAAAATGGAAAAATGGTTATATTAAAAGTAGCAATTTAAGACACTGTTATGTTATATTAATAGTTGGACACAAAGTCACAATTGATAAAGTCTCAATCACAAGACTGTAGCAACTGAGATTAAAAATCAAAATTATTAGAAACTAAGGTGGATTTATGAAAATTAGTCACATTGTCAATTTTAAGATTAAAAAATTGAAATTAGATTTATGAGAAAGTACATTGAGAAATATAATTGCAACTGTAACACATAACTTTAAAAAAAATTTGATTTAAAGTCACTATTTCAAGATACACGCCAGTTGTGAGATGTGAAGTCGCATTTATGGTGAAGGTATAAAGTTACAATAAACAAAGTAGCAATTGTGGGATTTAGTCATAATTATATAATCCCACAAATGTAATTCTAGCGTTTTATATATCTCAAAATATATGACATGTGTGAGATGAAGTTGTAATAATCTGAAGCAAAATTGCACTTATGAGAAAAATTGGAATTGCAGGAAAAAGTGGCAACTAGGAATAAAATAAATCACAATTATGAGAAATACTTGTATTGTGAGATATAAAGTGTCATTTGTTATTTATAAAGTTGCAAGATTGGGAAATCCTGAGAAAGTAAAAAATAAAGTTACAACTGTGAGTCAAACTTGCAGACATGAGAAATATTATTGGTACCTTTTTTTTTTTTTTTTTTTTTTACTTTAAGCAGAAACAGGCTTCCATAGCGTAATGTTATTTACCACTAATACAAAACTGTTACAGTTTGAGGAACTCAAGCAGTAAGCATCATTCGAGTTGGATCAGTAACATGGATTAGTGTCATTCCTGTATTATTCTGATATTAGGAAAGAAGTGAAAGAGGCACACAAATCATTCACTGACGGTCAGTACATCCATAAACAAATGAGCCAGTCATGTGCAGTGAACGGCCAGTAGATGGCACTAAGTGTCTGATCACCATGGCCTTTCTGCACATCAGGCCCCTATCTGATTACCCAATAAAAGTTCTCACTCATGCTGAGGGGTCCAAGATTTGACCACACCTACTCCCCCCCACCCCCCCCAGTAAAATCTGAGAATAATGCCAGCTGCCTTCCCAGTGGTGCACAGAATATCTTAAAGCTAGCAAAGTAGCAAAACTTTATTCCAAAGAGGCTTTTCTGAGGAGCTACAAATCCCATGAACACCTTGATGCTCACAGCTTTGGCGTAGGTGGATCTTTCTGTCTAATGTCTCCATTTGGCGCTTTATTCTCTGGTTCGTTTGGACTGGTTTTAGGAGTCTTGGGTTTCTGTTGATCCCTTCTCAAGTGTCTCCTTTGACGTCTCCTTTTGGGCCTGTCTGTAGAAGCTGGGTTCGATTCTGGTACATCCAGCAGGGGGTCCAGGTGAATCTTGCCACTCACTGCATCTGAAGACTCGTCGATGTACGCAAGATTTTCCCCAAGGTAATCCAAGGGCTGAGAGAGGACGGGATCTTTGGCCATGGCATGGAGTTTTTCTTCTTTCACTAAATCTTTGCCCTTGTCGCTACCCACTCCCTCCGGGACCCGGTCTGTTTGGGTTACCTCCGACTGGGACTCAGAGCTGCTTTCTGACTCATCCGATGAACCCGAGTAGGAGCTGGATTCGGATTCATTCTCCTCTTTTCCATCCTCTCCGGCTCTACCCTCACTGCCATTGTGTCTGTGGCGTCTGTGGCGCCCGTGACGCCGCTTTCGCCTTGTGCGCTTGAAAGGATCTTCAAATTTTCCAGACATGTTGAAATCCACAGACATATTCTGGATGTTCTGAGTCCAGTCTGAGGCATGTGCTCTCAACCCCTCCATCTGGGAGCAGAAAGTAGGGCAGGAGAAATGGAAAGGCTTGAGAGTTATGGAGAGATTTGTATGTCACCATGAACAGAATGATTGAAATTTGATACAGATTTTAGGTTAATAGGAGATGTGGAGATGAACTACGGGTATGAGGGGAAATGGAAGGAATGTTATCAAGAAGATAGAAGGGGCCGGAATTGAGAGAGAAGTTAAAAATCACATTTGAGTTGCAGTGTTGAGTCTGACCAGGCACTAACCTTATTCATTAACTGCTCAAAACATTTGATTATAAAAAATGAATTAGACATCAAGATTGAATCATTGACCTACCTCAGCTCGGGTTTTTTTGGTAAGAACCAGGATCCAGTTCCCAATCATGGAAAGAATGGACACAAAGTAGGCCAATCCAAACAAAACCCAGAACCACACCAGAGGCTTGTACCAATGATCTTTACCTGCATCACCGCCATCACCTGATGGACAAGAAATGTACAAAATACATAGAGTAATTTATTCAAATTTATAGTTCACCCAAAAATGAAAATTGTGTCATCATTTAATTACCATCATGGGGTTCCAAATTTTTTGACTTTAGTTATTCTGTTGAACACAAAGGAAGATATTCTGAAGAATGTTTCAGCAGTTTTTGTCCATATTATGAAAGTCAATGGGACCCATACATTTTCAAGCTCCAAGAAGGACATAAAGTTAGCGTGAAATTAATTAAGTGAAAACATTTGAAATGAACGTTTGATTAATGCATACAAAGACAAAAATGGTGAGACAAATGTTTGGACAAGAACCCAGGGGCGGATTTAGTGAATTGGGGGCCCCAGGCAAAATATAGGAATGGGGCCCTATACATTTGCACACATTTTCCTAGATCAACCTTGAGGTTCCATTTTGTTGTTTTCAGCATAAGCCTGTGTGCAAAGGCTGTCTAATTCTAAACTTTAAAATACATTTATTTTTAGTTGTTTTAACTACAAATTTAAATAAAACTGAAAAATATAATGAAAAGGCAATTATACATTTACACACCTAAAATACATATATCAAGAGCATGCTCACAGATGAGAACAAAACAGCGTTGGATGAAGTGGATTAAAGCCCTGCACGGGTCTCAAATATAGCCCGTCTTTTTTCCCCTTTTCCCAAAAAAAGCTTATACTACTGTTTCAGCTATTAAAATAGTTCAGTTTTGTATGTAATGGAAAAGTGATTATATTTCGTTTCGTTTTTTTATAAAGTAAATTTAGAAAAACATTTGGAGTATTTTTTGTTCGTTAAATGTACGTTTTTTTGTTTTTTTAAGTAAAGGCCAGCGGCAGACAGTGAATTGATCATAGCCTATAGCCTATGTTTGATCAATTTAGCCTTCTCAAATCATTAGGACTTGCCTAAAATAAAATCTATATATAAAACAGTTCAAGTATATCACAATGTTAGTTTAAATGTTTAACCTATATAAATGTGCATATCCAATCGTTTGCGAAGAGTGGAAGCTGAAGCACGCTCTGCAGGACACGGAGGCGCCAGCGCAATCACTTGCATTTTTTTCTAACAGTGGAAACAACTTAAAATACGAAGTCATTTTTGCTCATAAAGGTAAGAGTAATACATCATTCTAAACTGTAAAGGGGCTAGTTTTATT